GTTAAGATTTTGATTTTTTGGAATAAATTTGTTCAGGTGATCCTCGATAAAGTTGACAGGACAACGATTATGTGGACTAGTTTTGGTTGCAAAATGTTTATGAAAACTAATTAGTTGATTTGTTATTTAATGGATGGATATTTATCCGATAAAATTAGGTATATTGTCCATTGTTATTTAGAGTTATTCTCAATTGAAATAATAAATATTCACTAATCACCAATGAACAATGTCATATGCGTAGGTTAGTCTTTAAAATAAATTTACGAATGATCCCAAAAATAATAACGCTAATTACCACATAATTTTTTTTGGGTAAATTTAATTACCACTTAATCAGAGAAATCTCATCTTATCGTGATAATTAGGAAATCATCCCTTTACACTTCATGAAAGCAAATGAAACTTAGAACATGTGTAAGCTTCAAAAAGCTTTTTTTTTCCTGCCAAAATGAAAAATATGCATCTCTTGCAAAAGTAGAACGCCACTTGTCCTATGTTCATCCGAAAAAGAAAAAACAATACCCTAAAATGGTGAAAATATAAAATTTCACGTTAAACACTTATCAATTTAAGGGATTTACATTATGCAAATATAAACAACTGTTCAAGTTAAACACTCCCCAATTTAAGAGATTTACATTCTTTAAACTGTTACATTTTAGAACAATTATGTACGGTGAGATAATTCATTTCACATTATAATAATCAGTCCCCAATTTAAGGATTTACATTGCTTAAAAATCTGTTACATTTCAACTTTGTAAACACGTCCACAATTTCAGATAACTACTCCTCAGTTTTAGCTCCCAAATTTTGAGCTTCTTCCATGGCAGAATCAAATCCTAAATTTGGTTTTTCTTGAATTTTTTGATAAAGATCTGCTTCTCCATGAAGATATAAAATTAGGATTTCTTTTTCCTCCTCTCTTCTCAGCATAAACTCTCTTTCTATTGTGCCGCCGTTTTCCACCGAATCGAAAGCGCCACTATCGATGGCAACCTAACCTCCGATGTGACGGATTCAGATTTGATGGCGGTATTCGATAGCACGGGATTGCTAAAACAACAAAATGGATCCAACAAGGTTCCGTCGTCAAGTTTCAATATCCAGCGGGTGTTGTTGTTTGCATATTATGGAGGCGAACTTCGACGAGGTTTTGCACTCTTGAGTAAACTCTATTTAAATCTATTTTCTTAATTTCTAACCAATCTTGTGCTCTTAATTATGATATTTACCCCTCTAAAAGTTTCAAATATAATTTAGGTTTCAGGACCACCACATGAATCGCAAATATGATTATAGATAAAGGGGAGCGATCAATACAAAACGCTGTGACTACCTGTAAGTGACCCGATGTTCATTTGATAGGTAGAATCAATATTTATAATTTTTTGGTGATTTTTGGGGTTTTTATTTCTTTCCTTTAAGATTAAAAAAAAAAAACAAAATGAATGGTGCACCTCTGCCAAATAGCTCATATTTACGATGTTTTTCAGCGGAGAAAAGTTCCCATCCTTCAATTAACCTCTTCTAACAAGACATATCCCATACACATTGTCTGAAGATTTAAACCTAGGACGGCTGCTGCTTGATTTGTACAGAATCAATTTTGGTTGTTCAGATTCATGTCGAACGAGATAGACATCCATTCGAATACTGATAACGAGTTTCAATTGATAAAATCATTCATGACTCCCTTATTGATGTTTTCAACAATTGATTACTGCTTTCAAAGAATTTCTAGCATTTATATTTTTCAAAATGCACATGGAGAAGGGAAAGAGCCTAAAAAACGACTTCATCATTAGTTCCTTTCACAACTCAATTTTCGGCCACCTCATTGATCTCAGGTTTTCAGAATTCATCTATAGTTTTTGTAATGATAAAGTGGCTAGAGTTCATTGTTCTATCCCAATCCCATGCTGTCAATGGATTTTGTTTTCTTTAGTTGATATGGTTTTTGTATACACTTGCATTGTATTAGTAATCCCGGAGCTACGGTCTGAACTCATTGCCCTTTTAGGCATATAATCAGTGGATTTCCTAAAAGCTCATCCTGAAATCATATAACGATTGGATCATCATACTTCAATGTGTTATAAAAATCAAAATCGTTATAATTTCATGATTTTGTGTAAGTTATTGAAATCATTATAGTGCTTATGTATGCTTTTTTCATTCATTCTCCTCTTGTGCAACTGTTTGTGGCCAAACTGAAAAGATTCCTTGTGTCGTAGATTTTCAATTGAAGGCTATGAATTTTTACGGTCGCACAAAGCTATTGCTAGAAGAGATTAAGTACCTGAGATATTTAGAAGTAAGATGAAGATTGGAAAATCATCTTGCTAAGATGTTTTAACCCTGTTGGGGCTCATGAGGGTGGTAGGCTTGGAGAAGATCGCAAGGGTACCCCAAACAGTAATATGCCTTACATTGAACGAGTGGCAGTTGGCATATTTACTGAGTTAAATGTAATTTATGGTCATGATTATTTCACTCCTGATGGTTTGCATATAAGGGACTAAATCCGTGTTATGGATTTGGTGGATGGTCATGTTGCTGCACTGCAGAAGCTGTTCAAAAATGATTATTTTGGAATCTGGATGTCACCCTTACTAGCTACTAGGGGACTGCACAGGATACATCTATTCTTGAAATGGTTAATGCTTCCAAGAAGGCATCTGGACATCAACTTATGTCCAATAGGACCAGGAGACGCCACTGCTTTGTATGCTTTTCCACTAAGAAAGCTGAGGTAGAGCTCGGTTGGAAGTCAAAATATGGCATAGATGACGTTCGAAGAGATCGGTGGAAGTGGGCAAGTCAAATTTTCAAAACCCATGAGGTAACCTCGAGGCCCCCGTTGGGCTTCATATTTTTTTCCTTTAATATTAGTAGCTAGCTAGGTGCTAAGTTGAACCCGTGGTTGTCAATAAGTGTTGTCTCTGTGAGCTGACTCGCATTTGAAAGCTGTAGTAATGATCCCATATTTGATTTTATTTTAGTCCTTCCGACTTCTATTCTCTATGTTAAATTTCAAGTTGGCCATTGTTTGTTTAAAATTTTTATTTTTTCATTTAACACATTTAAAACACAGGTGGCCGTCGGGCATTTGCCGGGCCAAGTAAATAGTAGTGTTGACTGTGAATCTATAGATATTTGCTATTCAATATTCCAACAAGTAAATATATGTGTGAATATAGCTTTGTGGTTTAAGGTGTTGCCGGATTATTAATAGTAGTGTTGATCGTGGCAAGAATTTTCGATGGAAATAAGGGGTTGCACTTCTTTTATAATTTCAAAATCACCTTTGGTCTGTATTATAATACAAACAAGTTTTTTTTCTCGTCGAATACAAACGAGTCATCCTCCTACAAGAATGTATAACTTAGCTCTTAAATTATGTTTTATTGCTATTTTGCTGAAAGAAAATCTAATTTCATAAAGCAATGTCATAGAATATCAAAAAAAATATCTGAAAGCGGTTACCCGGCCAAAAGGCCGCGCCAAGCTTCTAGTTACTTGTATAGATTAAGCTGTATTTTGATTTTTAATGTGATTAATATGTCCAGATTCACTGTGACAATTTTTGAGAAGTATGGAAATTTTGTAATAGCAAACCCAAAAATTATAGATCTTAGTAATAATTAAATGAACAAATGCCATAATATCCCAATGACAAAATTATAATTGGGAATCCTGAATTCTATTTACTTTGGTTCAAAAATTATATAGGCAAATAAGTAATTGTTAGTTATCAAAAAAATTTACTACATCAAGTTGACTTCGATGTTTCCGATTTTCTAATTGACTAAGCAATTTCACATCATGCGTCCGAAAAATAATTTGTTTTAATATATAAGCAGATTCTTTAATTTTAAATTTTTAACTTTTGTTCAAATTTGATCCTCGATAAGGTTGGCGTGATAATGATTTTGTGGATTAGTTTTTGTTGCGCAAAAAGCTTATGAAAATTAAACACTTTCTTTGTTAATTAATGTATAGATTTTAATCTAATAAAATTATGTATATTTCCTTTGTTCTTAAAAATTAATTCTCAATGAAAAGTAACAAATCTTCACTAATCACGCAATAAACAATGTCAGATGAGGATGTTAGCCATTAAAATAAATTTACAAATGATCCCAAAAATAATAAGGTTAAATTTAATTATCACATGATCAGTAATTAAAATCTCATCTTATCGAGATAATTAGAAATACATGATCAGTAAAATCACATTTTGATTCTTAATATGATAAATTTGTCCAAATTAGCTGTGAAATGTTTGTAGAAATATGAAAATTATGTAATAGTAATCGTCAAAAATTATGAATCTTAATAATTAAAAAAAAATCTTAACAACCTAATCACAAAATCATTGAAACTTGAAATAATTGCAGCAATGTTCACGTGATTTGGAAATCTTGAATTTTATTTACTTTAGTTCAACAATTATATAGGTAAATCAGTAAAATTAATTAGTTACCAAAAAAAAAGTTATTACATCCAATTGAGTTTGATTTGGTCAAGTTTTTGATTGACTAAGTGATTTCACGTTATGTGTCCCAAAAACAACTCTTTTCATATTTAATATTGGAATAAAAAGGATGATCAGGATTTGTTGTCGACATGACTCGGGTGCCTAGATCAGTTCTAAACTCTTTCGTATTTTTTCCCACTTCACATTTAAGTTTTAACAATTAACATTTAGCTCCTCATTTTATTCATCTTATTACAATTACTTGTGAGAAGATGAAGCATCACGCAAAAACATAAAAAGTAAACCGACAAACTAAATGAAAATCGAACAAAACAACCACAAGCGTTCTTCGTTAACGTAACTAGTATTTAGTTCTTCCAAAATATTAAAACAAAGAAATTGCCCTAATTAAGCTCATCTTCTTCCAATCAAATATAAATGATTACAACTCACAACCAAGAAAAAAAAAACCTAGAAAAAAGCAAACAATTTCCTCCCTATGGTCCTATCAATTTCATTTGTAAATGTGGACGATGATGATCTTCTGCTCCTTCTGCATTTCAAAGACGCACACGTCATTAAGTTTAACGTTATTGTCTTGGACAAATTTCTTCCAACCGCCAGAAATTCTTCCGATGTTATCCTTAGCTTCGGTAACGACCCGGACCGACCATGAATTATCCTCATTCCCAGACAGATGGAGCTTAAATTCTTCGTATAGGCCTTTCGCCAAGTTTTCCCTGACAAAATTCCTAGGCATGGTCTACAAAAACATCAGCATGTTTAATTAAACATCAACAGTATTGATTGCAAAATCAAATAAATGAAAATTGGTAGTAAAATCAGTACAAAACAGTATTAATTGCTTACTATGCGGAATGGTCTAGAAATGGATGCAGTTCTGATGACACAAATGAAGAATGGATTATCTGAATTGAAAAGCTTTGCTCGTTGATAAGCCTCGAGCTCTTCATTTTTACGGTCAAGCGCCGACGATGAAGATTGCGGGCGCTTCTTTCTAGTTTCTGATGATGATCCCGCTTCTAATAAACGTAAAAGAAACTAATTTTGTTAGACAAATATAAATAAGGATTGATTTAATAGTGATAACAATAACGTGTACTACACATTATTCTCAATGTAATTAACAAAATCCACGTTGTTATTTTCTCACCTTTCACTTCTTTCCAACTCTTTTCCCGCAATATTTCCACGGAGTCATCATCGTCTTCATCATCTTCTTCATTCTCTTCTTCTTCTTCTTCTCCAGATCCAGTGTGAAGATTCTTTCTCTTCATCGTATTATCCTCTTGATTTCTTTTTGGGTAATCAATTTCCACTCCCGCTTTGTTAAAAATCGTGACGTTGAACTGGGAATTTCCGTTGTATCGGAAAACAAGGAAATAATGCCTTTTTATGGCATAAAATTCCTGGAATTCATCCCATCCTTCGTGCACCCTAGTACCCTTATTATCCCTGAGCAACTGCATGCGCCATGTTGCTCCAATCGGATCTTTAACCACTATGGCTTCCCTCATGTCTGTTGCATGCTTTTTGATAAAGTTTGTCGGGATTTGCTGTCAAAATTTTCAATATAAATTAATCAATGGCAAATAAAACTCAGGGATCAATTTGTTTAAGGCCCCAAAGTTTGGATTTATTTATTATTGTTATTACCTACAATCTTATCAGGAAACAACTATTGAAAGTAAATATGCAATAATCTCTTAAATATCAACATCAAGAAAATATTCACGTTATACCTTCATTGCTATAAAAAAAAAAAAAAGAAAAGAAAAAAAAGGAGAGCAGTACCTGGTAAGATTTTATTAATATTAAAGAAAATAGGACCTTTATTCCTATTTATATGTTAAGCATTTCTTTGCCACGATATTGCAAGTTATTATCACATTGTTAATTTTGAATTGAGTAGATCGACAACCCTTATCCCTTTTAATCTATTAAAGCAGAAAATATGAAGCTTATGTGGCAACTAAGTATGCATCTGTTTTGGCTCCAATGCACCATATTTCAGATTTCAAAAGTCTCTTTGCCACGTGTAAGTCTCTTTTAATTAGAATCTATCTAATTTTTTTTTTTAAAAAAAACACATGTTTTAGATGTAACCCGAGTCCAATGAAAAAATTATACAAATAAGGATCAGTTACATTTCAAACGAATGGATATATTAATTCAAATTCAAATGTCCAATCGTACAGTTTTACAGGCTTAATATAAACAAAAAATAAAAATACCTAAATCCAGCAATTAAGAATAATGCCTTATAAACTAATTATTTATTATTCCCTTATAACCTCAAATTTATAGGTATAATTTTTTAAGTCCCAAACCATAGCATAAATGATATATACGCCAAATTAATTCTTCAAAAAATAGCAATTCAATTAAATTTTAATAAAATAGTAATTTAGAGGCGGCGCCCAGGCATCTGCCTGGGCCAAGCATCTAGTTCTTCTTATACACACAAACTTTGTACTCATTTTTAATTTAGGTGAAATTCGTGCTTTAAGAAACTGGACAATTGGTTTATGATAGAAAATACATTTGAACTTTCTACAACCATCAATGGTATATATTTTGTCAAAAAGAAAAAAAAAACAATAATATATAAACAAATATGTCTCAAACACAGTTTTGTTTATTTATTTGACTTTGTTCTCACTTCTCAATCTTTTTCTCTAATCATTTGGGAGTGAAATTTTTGGGAAGACAGATACTATTAAAAACAACTATTAAAAAAATGCATTTTCGTAATGTTTTGGACTAAAACCAAGTTCTTGTTTGGACATCATCTTACATTTTATTTTGCCACTTAAAAGTAGAAAGTGTTTTAAGTTGAAAACTAAATGGGAAATGAAAATGTTGTTTGGATGGTATTTTGAGCAAAAAGTTGTTTGGATGTTGGTTTTGAAAAAAATATTTTGAACTACATTTTGAAAATATCAAGTACGAGTCATCACTAAACAATTAAATACTGTCAATTATAGTTACTGCAAAAAAGAACTTTTCCAAAAACAATCACTCAACAACGGAATCCTGTCAAATTTGTCACTGAACTATTTGTAGTTCTAAAATGGTCATTACACTAACAAAAAGTGTTTCAAGTTAGAATTTAAAATGTAAATCAGAAATTGTTTGGATAATGTTTTCTTTTCCATTTAATTTTGTATTTAAGAGGTAAAATGAGTTAAAATATAAAATAAATGAAACAAGCCATTAATAGTTTGAAACTAATTTCTCGGATTCTCCCAAATCTTGGGGCAAATTCTTGCGTGGATCCGGACCCATTATTAGTTAATGAATTCCTATCCCCAAAGTTTCGTACATATATATGAGATTTATTGATATCTTTTTTGGTTAATGCATTCCATTAATATTTACTGTAGATATTGAGGTTTCCTATTTGTTAACTCAAAAAACTGATAACGTGACATCGAAAATTTTGAAATGATTTTATCTCTTAAACCATGAACAATTAAAAAAAATGGTGTATATGAATTTTATAATACGACACAAGATCTATCCAATGAAGTCTGCACTGGATATAGTTTTAGATTTTATAGTAATTATTTATAATTTTAAAATTTTCATTTATGTACCTTATCTATCATTTTGATGGGTCTACCAATTTTATTAATAATTTTTCCCCTTATTTTTTCCTCGTGGATCTGCACTATAATTTTGATGGTTCTTTCATGAAATTGTAATGGTGTATCACTTAACTTTTGAAATATTTATTTTTGAAAAACAAAATTGGTACAAGGATAAATATAAAGTTTTATGGACCTTCTTAACAATTTTGATGTACCTGCAATATAATTTTGATAGATATATGTTCTCTAATTTGATGGTTTAACCACATTTACAAAAAAAATATAGAATCAGTCTCCGAAAATTTAATGGGTATACTAGATGAATTTGATGTACCTATAACATAATTTGATAGATTTTCTATCTAAGTTTGATGAACCTGACCTAAAATTCCTAAGAGTATTTATTATTGAAAATTTTGGTGAAACCTCCTATATTATTTTTAGGGCGAACTATATTTTACCCCCCGAGTTTTAGTTGAATCTACCGTAAACCCCCCAAGTTTTAGGAATACTACCATATACCTCCTTGACTCATGTCAACCAATGAAATACCCCCTTAACATACAAGCACTACCATCAATTTTGTGTGAATGGTCAAAAATTCCCTTTAATCTATATTTTTAGATTATATGGCATAAATGTTTTTTAAAAAATATATCATAAGTTAAATATTAAAAATATTCCATATTAATTATTTTATATTAATACATCTAAATAATAAAATTTTGACATTAACTATACCATGTCTTTTGAAATAAAAATTATTTTCACAAATTAACTTCTTTTTTTTTTTGAAGCATAATAAGGTTATAGTATTAATCATGGACTAACTTTCATATATTAACGTGTTAATAAGGTTATAGTATTAATCATAGTCTAACTTTCATAAATTTGAACACATACACATTCTGAATGTGCTTTAATCAATCAGATTGAAATATTCTCTCGAGTCCAGATCCTAAAAATTAATCCGATTGTACGCATCCGTTATTATATAATCATCTTTAATGTTAAATCATAAAAATATAATCTGCTCAAAGTATTAATTTAATCTACTTCGTGTAAACTCATATATACATATACCATTGGATTATGAATCAGCACATTTTAAAATCAAGTTCAATGGTACGTAATAAATCATGGTCGAAAAAACAATTGAACCAATATATGGAATATACTTACAAGGCCATTTGGAAGGGGAAACTCGAGGATGAATTTCAAAAAATGGGGTTCCTCAGGCTGAATTAAATCGTTGCTTTTATCATTAGCCATCTTATACAAAGGCTAGAACCGAAAATAAAAGATGGCAAATGATAAAAACGAACTCTGCACTAAGAAGAGAATGTGATTTCTGCAAATGGCTGACACCGGCTTATATAGCCGACGAACGGGGGTTGTTGAAAATCCGATTCCCGGAATCGACCACAACTTACCATTTTATTTTATTTTTTTATATAATCATTAGTAGTATTTGATTTTTTTCCTTAATGTTTCATGTTACTAAAGAATGAGTTGGGTCCACATTTCGACACTTCTTATCCAAAAATCTTGATCACGTGCATAATGATTGGGAAAAAAAAAATACTCACGTGGACGAAACACAGCTTAATTCGGTTCTTTTTTTGGGAAAAAAAAAGAAAAAATAAACAGTTTGAGGAAGTACGTAGATGTTACCGAAATCTGTAAACGTTGTTTGCTGTTATGAAAATCAACCGAAACTCAGTTTACATTGGGTAAATTAGTGTTCCTCCTCAATGTTTTGGACATCTGGTCATTCCTTTTTTACCTGTATAGAGGGAGAAAAAAGTAACATGTAGTCTCGCAAAGTTGTTGTTTAATTTTCATTTTTATTTTCACTATAAATTAAATTAAAAGTAAAACATCCAAATTACATAATAATTTTGGAACGAAAGAAAGTATAATGTTTAAATTTTTTGTACCTAACATTGTTTTTTTAAAGATTATTTTCCATCCCACCCGTAACTATATATTGGCTGTTTGCGTGGACTTCCTTCGAGTATTTGTTCATAGCCCAATCTTATTATTATTATTATTATTATTATTATTATTATTATTATTATTATTATTATTATTATTATTATTTTGAGAAAGTTTTTTTTACTGAAATTTCATTTTTAGCATTTAAAAAAATGAACAAGGCAAATCTCTTGTCGCACTTGGTACACATAACTAAATCCTTTCTTGAAGGAAGAGATGCTTGGCCACTGGTTTGGTGAGAATATCAACAAGTTGATCAGACGCGGAAATGTTGAGGAGTGCCACAAACCCCTTTTGAACGTGTTGCCGAATAAAGTGAAAATCGACCTCAACATGGCGAGTACGAGCTCAAAAAGTCAGACTGGAAGCTAAGAAGACAGCACCATTGTTATCACACCAAACATTATGGGGGGCCTTTAGCACCTGGACTGGAACCATCGTTGGTACCTGCTGATTTGGAACTAGCAATGGTTGATGTTGAATATGAGGTTCTGCAATTGGGACTGGTTTAGCAATTGTGCATTCCCTGTAGTATCATTTCCTATTGCAGTTCCGGAATAGTGTGCTTCTGGACTTGTTGGCCACGCCACTTGATAATTCTTATCAGGTATACGCCCTAACTGCATTCCGAATACCATTGTTTGTCCATTATATGGAGCAGATAACGGAGGTAATTGACATCCGTCAAACGTGAATTTCCCCTGTGGCGAAATAAAAGCCGGTTGACTTGGAATTACCGAGTAATAGCAACTATGTAACCCTTGTCCTGACACATTCGCAACAATTTGCGACCCATTATTACTTGGCACTGAACCTGCATGTTGCACCGAAGTATCTGTTCCAGGCGATTGAAATATAGCATTATACAAAGGATTGTTTACCATATTAACCGGAGGTACTTCCCCTTGAGTTGTTCTTGTAGGTGT